ATATATATATATATATATATATATATATATATATATATATATAGCTTCTTTGGGTACTTAAACTGTAGAATAATGAAAACAAATTCTCACACTCTTCACTCCTTGTGAACCAGGGGGGGGGGGGGAAGGTGTCTTTTCCAACAAATTAAAAATGGCTTGCGCACGGAATTTAAAAGCGTTAATCATATTTTGGGTTGATGCATGGAAAGTTTGTTGGGTTTTTAATTACTGTACAAAGTTTCAGTCAATTTGCTTTAATGCCTTTGCCTAATTTGCATATGTCAGCAAAATGCAATTAGGTACAGGCATTAATTAAGCATGCGAAAGGCTGATTTTTTAAGGAAAATATAAATATTTCCTATACTATTCTTATAATAAACTAAAGCAAATGTTTTTTAACGTGTTTAGTTTAGATTCATTTAAATTTGAAGAAATATTGGGGAAATGTAAATCCACTTGTTCATGTTCATATCCAGTTAGTAAGCTAACGAAAAAAATAGCGTGAGGTGTGTTACTTTGGTACGGCATAAAAAAATTATTACCTTACCACAAGATATTACCTACATAAAAATATTACTTTGGTACAAGACATATTTTCTCGATATAAGAAAGATTACCTTGATAAACTTTTTGGCAGCTTTCCCCTCAAGTCCCGCAGCACAAGAAAGCAGTTTTGCTTTTGCTTTATCTATCCCCGCTTTTCTGAGGTCTCTTTCAATTTGTTTTTTAGTTTTTTCTTTCATGTCGTATCCGCGTCCTATGGTTAAACCAGAATTGTCAGGCGGTACATGAAGCTTTCGGCTGTGGAACCTTCCTCCTTCTTGTCCTTCTGCGTCGAACGTGAACTGCCCGCGATTCACTGAAATGTATACATACTGAAATGGGTAACATACTATGTATTAAGCATTCAATTTATTTTGTAGATTTGCCAACCTGGTTGTTATGCAGTTAGTCTTAAACTTTTTCTCTCCCACCTTTTCACTATCCTTGTGTAACCTCTTAGCCTATAAAACACCCTCCCCGTCCACCACCACCCCTTCTCCGTATATAATATCATGGAAATTAGCCCAAAACCTAATAGCAGAACATGACAAAATCTTGCATCCAGTTTTCTGAATAGAGCGGAAATGAAGTAAAAATTAACTTTGCTTCATCCAAAGATCTTCAAAAAGTAATAACAGATGTTTTATTTACATATATTCACAAATCTATAAATAACTCGCTGTGTAAACGGCATTCTTTGGTACTTTCCCGGAAAATCGTAGAAATGAAGCAAATTTCATTTTTTCCCATTTCAATTCCTATTTTAACATTTAGATAGATCACTACATGCTAGCTCTGGAATGATGAGTATATAAGGTGAAGTCTTAGGTCCAAATTCTCCAGATAGAAATTACGTATTGTATATTGCCATTGTAAAAAGTACGTACCTTGAAAGCAATCGTCCTTTTTTACTGGTTTCTTTTTGGGTGGTTCTGCGCATTTACATCCTATGGTTGTTGGTGGTGTGCTTGCATTTGTTGGCTGTGGGCTTGGGCGTGGGCTTGTGTTGGTAGATGGTAGGCTTACATTTGTTGGTTGTGGACTTTCGTTTGTTGCTGATGTGCTTGTGTCAGTTGGTGATGTGGTTGCGTCCATTGGTCCTGTGCTTGCCTCGGCTGGTGTTGGGCTTGCATTGGTTGGTCGCGTGCTTGCCTCGGTTGGTGATGGGCTTGCGTTGGTTGGTCGTATGCTTGCCTCGGTTGGTGATGGGCTTGCATTGGTTGCTCGCGTGCTTGCCTCGGTTGGTGATGGGTTTGCGTTGGTTGGTTGTGTGCTTGTATCCGTTGGCGACGAGCTTTTTTGCATTGGTGATGAGCTTGCGTCCGATGCTGGTGTGCTTGTGCCGCTTGGTGATCGGCTTGTGTCGGTTAGCGATGGTGTTGTGTCGGTTGATGGTAGACTTGCGTCTGTTGGTGATGTGTTAATGTCGGTTGGTGATGGACTTGCGTTGGCTGGCTGCGGAATAACTATACTTAATTGTGAGCTTAGAGATGTTGGTTGCAATTGATGGCTTACTTTGGTTGGTTTAGGGATTACATCAGTCGTTTGTGGGCTTGTAATTGTGGATCTGAAATGCAGAGATGGGAGATGAAACGTCCTGATTTACTTAATATTACACTGCATAGTTTATCAACCTGCCATCATACAGGCTATCTGATATTGAAGTATTTGAAAATGCTGCTTGTTCCACATTTTTGAAAAAGTTGATGCCGAATTTCTTTTTTTGGTTACTCTAGACGGGCGACCTGTATAAAATTTCTGTTTCATTCGATGGGTAAAAACAAAATTTTCGCCTGGGGCGATTGTGGATGCATGTCAAAGAAATTATTTGTTAATTAATTAAAGAAACCACAGCAAAATATTCAAAATAGAATTGAAAGTAAGCATACAAATGAACACAAACAATTGAGCAATCTAGCGCCTTGGGGTAGTTACAGAGCATGTGTTTAACTTACTAACTATTTAAGGCCGTAACCTAACTAATTAAAGCCGTAACCGTTGGATCTTCTTTTGGCGAAAAAAATAGTCTAGATCTGTCGTTTATAGACAGTAAAATTCCGAAAACTGCGTCGCACCAAAAGTCTGCAGATTATTGCTGCAGCTGTTAAATAAAGGCGATATATATTTGAACGGACGGATAAATATCGAGAGTTTGATCATCTCGCTCGATAGAACTAACAGTTAAAAAGGATTGCGTAGAAGGAAATTTCGAACGGAAATTAATATTCAATTTTCAGACCTAATCATTAGTAGCTACGAAAGACCGATGTTCCCCTAGCCACTAACCAGGACAGCCGCCAAAGAGCTCGACAACTGAATCCTGTAGTTTAGTTGATTAGAGCAATGCGCCGGGATCGCATGGCGCAGGCTCGATTGCTGCCAGATGATTTTTCCCAGCTGCTCTTGGTTAGGTCTGAAAATTGTATATATTCTTGCTGCCGCTCAAAATTTCATCCACAAAAACCCTGTATAGGTTCTGTTTGCTAAAACGCCTTGTCAAATATATTTTACCGACCTTAAATGAGTTGTTTGTGTCCCGCTACTTGACACTCTTGGTGTGCTAAAAGATGCATCAATTTCCAAACATCCTTCAATAAACGAGAGTTCACATAGCACAGCTATGACCATGGCGATCGAATGCACATTAGTCTTCATCTTACTTCCTCGAGATGGATGTGGCATGGAGTTCTCTAAAAGCTAATGCTTTTATAGGTATCGCTCTGCAATCTACATGTTGCTAAATAGTCTATTCTAGCATAATTTGTGCTAAAACGGTAGTTATTTTCACTACAGGATATTTTCCTGTTTCGAAGATAATAGATTTAAACTTAACAAGGTCTGTGGGGGAAATGGTTCAACTAGTATTAATTAAATTAGCCATATTTCCTCGGGTTTGTTACATTAACGTACCAAAAATAACCACAATAAATGGTAGAATGCTTTCACCATTGTCATGATAATATTGCCAGGCTGGAAAGGAATTGTCACACTTATATACATGTACATTGACAGAATTTTCTGCTTTTGAAACAGGAATTGGAGGGGTACCGGTTGATATGGAGTCAAAAAAAATATGACGTCGTCGCCATGGTAATGTAGCTCAATATTTTCATAGACTGACATGTATTTTATAATTTGCAAAAAGAGAAAAGGACGGCTATTGGTCCTTTCGAAACAGGAATCGCGAGGGTGGACTTGGAGTCTAGAAGAATGACGTCAGTTGCCATGGTAATGCCGCTCAATATTTTGATCGGACGACACTTATTTTATAATTTTTAAAAAACGTTGCAATTGTAAACAAATACCTTGCAATTGAAAAATTTCGATGTATGCTGAAAAATTTCATTAAAACTGTCGAAATATTTCAATATTTATAAGTATAAGCTATTATTCCGGCCACCACTTTATTTCTCAGCATAATCAACAATATGATACCCTTTTTTGCGTGTTTCACTGTAGGTATTATATAAGATACCTTAATCCCCTGCACGACTAAACTAAAAGCTGGAATTGCTTATTGTGAAGGTGGATATGGAGTCGCAAAATATGACGTCGTTGTCATGGTAATACAGCTCAATATTTACAGTGTTTTATAAGAAGATATTTGATAGATTTAGTTTTTGATAGACTTATATTTTGATAGACTTATAGGAACGAGAGGAGGGATAGTACTTTTTCTGCTATATGTGAACGATCTACCCAAGTCGTGTTGTCATCAAAAGTGGCCTGCGATACCAAAGTCCGGAAGGGAGTTGAAAGTCAAAAGACGGTTGATCTTCAAAGTGATATCGACAACCTCAACCCTAGGGCTGCTGCATGTGGGTTGACGTTCAATGATTTGGAATACTGCTTTTGAAACAGGAATTGCGAGGGTGGATATGACGTCAGTTGCCATAGTAATGTTGCCCAATATTTTGATAGGATAACACTTAATTTACAATGTGTAAAAAACCCAAAATTTTTTGCCTTAACTGCTTTTGAAACATGAATTGTGAAGGTGGAAATAGAGTCGCAAAATACGACGTCGTTGTCATGGTAATGTAGCTCAATATTTTGATAAACTTATGACATGAAAATTGATGGACTTATATTCTGACAGATTTATATTTTGATAGACTTATTTAATTTTCATAGACTTATATTTTGATAGACTAATATTTTGGTAAACTCGACATTTTGGTAGACTTATAAGAACGAGACGTAACATCGGGAGTTCCCTAAGGCTCGATCCTAAGGCCAGTAGTTTTCTCTTATATGTGAACGATCTACCCAAGGCCGTGTTGTCGTCAAAAGTGGCTTGCTTCATCGACAACACCAAAGTCCTGAAGATAGTTGAAAGTCAACAACATAGCGTTGATCTTCAAAGTGATATCGACAACTTCAAATATTTACTATTGGACTGAACTCAATGAGTTACCGTTCAATGATTAGGAATGCTGCTTTTGAAACAGGAATTGCGAGGGTGGATATGGAGTCAGGGAGAATGACGTCATTTGCCACAGTAATGTTGCTCAATATTTTGATAGGATGACACTTATTTTATAATTTGTTAAAGAAAATTTTTGGCCTTAACTGCTTTTGAAACAGCAATTGTGAAGGTGGAAAAGGAGTCGCAAAATAAGACGTCGTTGTCATGGTAATGTAGCTCAATATTTTGATAGACTTACAAGAACATATTTGATAGACTTATATTTTGATAGATTTATGTTTGGATTAGACTTTCTGATTGACTTATTTTCATAGACTTATATTTTCATACACTAAAATTTTGATATCAATATTTTGATTGACTTATATTTTGACAGACTTATAAATATAAGAACGAGAGGAAACGTCGAGAGTTCCCTAGCGCTCAATCCTAGGGCTCGTACTTTTTCTCTTATATGTGAACGATCTACACAAGGTCGTGTTGTCATCAAAAGTGACTTGCTTCGCTGACGACACCAAAGTCCTGAAGAGAGTTGACTGTCGACAAGATAGCGTTGATCTTCAAAGTGATATCGACAACCTTAAACCTCGGGCTTGACGTTCAATGATTAGAAATGCTGCTTTTAAAGCAGGAATTACAAGGGTGGATATGGATCCTGGAGAATGACGTCAGTTGCCATAGTCAAGCGTGCCCAATATTTTGATAGGATGACAGTTATTTTATAGTTTGTTAAAAAAACCCAATTTTTTTACGCGCGGAGTGGGTGACATTAAGTAAGGTATCATATTGCTAATTATGCTGAAAAATTTCAATGAACTGCCGAAACATTTCAATATATAAGTCACTTACTTGTTTACACGGCCGCCATTTTTATTTTTTCAGCATAACCAACAATATGTTACTGTATGTACCTTATTTCCCATCACCCCCCCCCCCTGCCTAAACTAAAACTGGAATTGCCTATTGTGAAGTTGGATATGGAGTCGCAAAATATGACGTCGTTGTCATGGCGATGACAATAACAACAACACTTTGATATACTTATAAAAAGATATTTGATAGACTTATATTTTGATAGAATTCTATTTTGATGGATGTGTAAGAACGAGAGGTAACGTCGGGAGTCCCCTAAGGTCGATCCTAGAGTCAGTACGTTTTCTCCTATATCTGAACGATCTACTCAAGGCCGTGTTGTCATCAAAAGTGACCTGTTTCACTGACGATACCAAAGTCCTGAAGAGAGTTAAAAGTCAAAAGACGGTTTATCTTTAAAGTGATATCAACAACCTCAACCCTTCGGATGCGTTCTATAGGTTGACGTTCAATGATTCGAAATGCTGCTTTTTAAACACGAATTGCGAGGGTGGTATAATTTGTAAAAAAACAAAACTTTTGGCCTTAATTAAGTCCCTGTAACACTATTGCGTATGAGAGAATCGCATGAGGAGCGTATGGAAATCAAAGAAATAATTTTCATACGCACAAAAATCATTTGAAATGCGTACCTCTAGGCGTACCTCTAGCCTATTCAGCGTGTGCCTAAGGTATGCTTATCCTATATTTAGCGTACGTCCGAATACGCACAAAATTTTTGAGCATGCCTCGTCGTATGCCAGCGTATAAGCCTCCGTATGCGACCGTACTTTAAACGTATGCAACCTATGCCCAACGTACCGCTAGCGTATGTCAGCGTATACCGGCGCATGAATGATATTTTTCATACACTGGCATACGCTAGTACGATACGCAATAGTGTGACAGGGCCTTTAACTGCTTTTGAAACAGGAATTGTGAAGGTGGAAATAGAGTCGCAAAATACGACGTCGTTGTCATGGTAATGTAGCTCAATATTTTGATTAGCCTGCATGGCAGGCGGTTCCTAAAATTGGGCAAGCCTGGGAAATACCGCCTGCTGGGTTTGGCAGTGTAATCGAATTCCCCGTCCACCAGTGGACGGGAATTGATGATTGGCTGCGAGTCTGAGCCGCTGTCACTCAAAAGTGAATGCACTTTAATATGTAAACATAAGTTTGACACTTTAATGATGCATGCGTTCGCTTTAACAGGTGTTGTAAAAGTGAACGCTTCTCGAAAGAAACGCGAACTGATTGTCAAACGCGAGCAAGAGATAGCAGTTAAAGATTTACTCCTTGGAAAGAATGTTTTGGCCATTCTATGGGAAAAGCTTGATTTTTACATTGTTCTTGTTGGCGCGAGAAAATATAACGAGAGTAGATACAGACGGCCGTATAGTCTTTCTTGCAACGGGTTTTATAACAGGACTATTAGTCTATTACGCCTATGCCTATTAATAGCCGCTTCACTTTGTGAACTTTTTAAGGCTTTCGTTACCACACGGCTTCGTTAATAGGGAGACGAGACAGTTCATATTGGCAACTGAGATTTTTAATATACAACTGTCTATTTGTTCGAACGTACACAGGCAACGCGTTTATGTCTCGTTTGATTATGGCAATCAGTTCGCTTGCATTTCGGATATTTCGCTCACACGGTTTGCAAACTTGGTCGGATAGTTCCGAGGTAGAATTAAGCCAAGGTTTTACCACTGTCGTAACGTTTCTTTTGCTTGCCTTAAATAAATAATTTCTCCAACAATATATAAGAATATAAGATATTTTCTCTATTGGCGTATTGCCCCGTATTTTAGTTTCAAAGCACACTTAAACAAACGACAAATAATTTACATTTTCGCGCTTGCTTCTCTACCTCTTGTCGTTATTCGCCTTATTCGGTCCTGATTGAAACTTTCAATGGCGTTTCTTTCGACATATTTTTATACATTTGCAATTTTGCGACCAAACAATAGCATAGTTTGACAGTTTGATTATTAATCCCCGAGCCGACGGCGCGAAGCGCCGTGCGAGGGTACTAATTCCCCCCGGCTATTTACACCCGGGGAAACGAAAGCATTAGCGGAGTCTAAAGTTCATCAAATATCGCGGGCGTGGGTGACCAACAATGGGTGGTCATCCTCACTGATCTCAAAAATATGGCGGACTGTCATGAATAGCGGACACTGATTGGTCCAATTTAAATTTTGCATTATAACGACTGGCACGAATGTATCACGACAGCGAAATAGCAAACATTTCTTGATTTGATCACAGAATAAGTATACTTCCTATTCTGTGATTTGATGATTGATAAATTTCTTGCAAATATATTTCATTTTTACTCGCATTTTTGCAAGATTTTGTAAATTTCAAAAGCTCTCTCAAAATGAAACTGCGAA